ATTCCAGGTAAGTGGATGAACTTACCGAGTGGGTAAGGAGAAGAAATACATGTATTCCTCTTTGAACACCTTTTTTTCCTGGGCTTGTGTGGAGTGAGCTTTGTGGCTTTGTTGATAGAAGGTCTGTCCCAGAAAATCTATGTGCTGATCAAGATGTTGATCTCTACCCAGACCCTTCCTTCCATTTGCTAAATGAACCTGCAAAATATTGTGCCTTGTACAGTCGTAGCATCCCTGCCTTTAATAACAGCAAACCCATCTGCCTGGAAAAGTCAACAAAATGTCTGTTAACTGGGCACGACGCGTTTTTTCTCTGTTTGTGTGTTTGGGTAATCATGGTGTAAGATGGCAGAAGATCCATAGATGGACAGAATAGTAATGCAGAACAAAACCCGTTCTGCTACATTCTGAATGTGATTGGAACATGTCAGTGAAAGTTGCGGTGCCCAACTGGTGCAGTATCTGCCCGAAATCACTGCTGCTGTTTTGCTTGAGCTTCTCTATTCAGGGGCATCACAGGAGAGGAGGAGCACACTTCATCTTCTGAGTCTGAACTTCCACTGTGCTCTGCGTGGAAGGATTTGGGATAGGAAATGTGATGTGTCTGAATGCTTCCTCAGGGAGATGAGCGTGCCGTTTGTTGGGATAGAGGAATGTAGTTCAGGTACAAACACGAAGGATGATGAAGTGTTCAACATTATGGTTGTTTTTTTTACACTGGCTGAACTGAACTTCAGTAAGGCCTTTGACACAGTATCCCATAATACTCTTCTGTCCAAATTGGGAAGGTGTGGATCAGATGGGTGCACCATTTGATGGATGAGGAACCGGTTGCAAGGTGGAACCAGAGAGTCGTGTCCAATGGCTCCTTGTCTGGATGGAGATCAGTGATGAGTGGTGTCCCTCAGGGGTCATTGCTGGGACCAGTGCTGTTTAATCTCTTCACTAATTAAATTGGCAGTCAGATTGTGGACAACCTCAGTAGACTGCAGAGGGGAAGTGGACACACCAGAGGGATGGGATACCACCCAGGGAAACCCAGACAGTCTGAGTGGGCCCAGGAGAACCTCTTGAGGTTCAGCAATGCCAAGAGTAAGGACTTGCACCTGGGTTGTGGTAACTGCCAGTAACAGTACAAGCTGGATGATGACAGGATGGAGCACAGCCCTGCCAAAAAGGACTGGTATTACTGATGGATAGCAGCTGGATGTGTGCCAGCACTGTGCTCTCGTAGCCCAGAAAGCCAACTGTAGCCTGGACTGCATCAAAAGCAGCGCAGCCAGCAGGGTGATGGAAGGGATCTGCCCCTCTGCTCTGTGCTGTGAGACCTCACCTGGAGTGCTGCATCCAGATGGGGAGTGCTCAGCACAGGAGAGGCACAGAGGTGTTGGAGTTTGCCCAGAGGATGGCCATAAAAATGATCCTAAGAATGGAGCATCTCCCTATGAGGACAGAGCTTCGTTTGTGCAGCATGGAGAAGAGGAGGCTCCGGGAGACCTGACAGTGGCTGTTCCTTGTGTAAAGGGGACATATAAGAAAGATGGGGACAGATGTCTTAGCAGGATCTGTTGTGATAGGATAGGTGGAAATGATTTCAAATTAGACATGAGGAGATTTAGATTGGATGTAAGGAAGTAATTTTTTGCAGTGGTGTTGGTGAGGCACTGGCTCAAGGTGCCCAGAGAGGTGCTGGATGCCCCGTGCCTGGAGACGTTCAAGGTCAGGCTGGATTGAACTCTGAGCACTCTGATCTTGCTGTAGGTGTCCTTGTTCACCTCAGGGGGGTTGAACTGAATGATCTTTGTGTATCCCTTCCAACTTCTATGCTTCTTCCATGATTGTAACTGCAGAAACCAAAAAAGAAGCAAGTGGTGGGAGAAGCGTTTGCCATGAGTGAAAGAAGGGGATGTGTTTCCCACTTTTCTCCTCTCGCTAATTCTTTTTACGACATAGAGCAGTCACCTGTGAATCTCTGCTTCACTGTAGTTAGGCTAAAAGTGGTGTTTATTTTCCTGTAAAAATATAAAGAAGGCTGTGTGAATAGGGAGTGTCATTAGAAAGAATTCTATTAGATCAGAAGGTTTCTAATAGTGGAACATCAATTACTGTTGCTGAGATAGCAAACAACAAATACATCCAATACCTTTCATGGTACACCAGTTTCACATGACAAACGAGTGCGAAAGATCAGTTGGCACCTCATTGTAAATAAAAAGATACACTCTAAACTAGAACAGTGAAAGTGCTGCAGGTAAGTACTCAGTCAAAAATTATGTATGTATATTTTAAAACATCTGAAGAGCAGAGGAGTGGAGAATGGTAACAACGAAACGAGTCCCAGAAGCCTGAGGGAACTGTGTGATGTAGTTGCCAGTCCACTCTCAATGATACTTGAAAAGTCATGGCAATGGGGTGAAGTACCTGGTGGCTGGGAAAAAAGGCAACATCACACCCCTTTGTAAACAGGGTAAAAAGAAGGACCCTGGGAACTACCGACCTGTCAGTGTCACCTCTGTGCCAGAGAATATCATGGAACAGATCTCCTGGAAGCTATGCTAAGGCACATGGAAGACAGGGAGGCGATCTGGGAGAATCAGCATGGCTTCAGCAAGGGCAAATCCTGCTTCACTAACCAAGTGGTCTTCGGAGATGGTGTCACTGCATCAATGGGCAAGGGAAGAGCCACTGATGTCCTTTGACATGGTCCCACAACATCCTTCTGTCCAAATTGGAAAGATACGGATTTGATGGCTGGACTGTTCAGTGGACGAAGAACTGGCTGCAGGATCGAGTCCAGAAAGTGGTGGTCAATGGATCCACGCCTGGATGAAGATTGGTGACAAATAGAGCATCCCCCAGGAATCAGTGCTGGGACTGATACTCTTTCATATCTTGATCAGTGACATGGACAGTGGGGTCAGGTGCATCCTCAGTATGTTTGCTGGTGACGTAAAGCTGTGGCATGTGGTGATCACATCAAGGGGATGGGATGCCATCCAGAAGGACCTAGACGGGCTTCAACCCGATGCCCAGGTGAATCCCATGAGTTTCAACAAATTTAAAGAGAAGATCTTGCACCTGAGTCGAGGCAACTCCTGTAACCAATACTAAGGTGGGGAATGAAAGGATTGAGCACAGCCCTGCCAAAAAAAGACCTTGGGGGTGGAAGCTGGATATGAGCCAGCATTGTGACTTTGCATCCCAGAAAGCAACTGTATCTTGGTCTGCATCAAAAGCAGTGTGACCAGCAGGGTGAGGGAGGTGATCCTGGCCCTCTACTCCGCACTGGTGAGGCCACACGTGGAGTACTGCATCCAGCTGTGGAGTCCTCAGTATAGGAGAGACATAGACACCCATGAAATGCGTCTAGGGGAGGGCCACAAAAATGATCACAGGGGTGGAACATCTTCTACAGTGAGGGTGGTGAGGCATGGGAAAAGGATGCCCAGTGATGTGGTGGATGCCACATATCTAGAGACATTCAAGGAGAGGCTGGATCAGGCCCTGGACAACATCATCTGGCTGTGGGTCTTTATGTTCACCTCGGAGGAGTTGGACTACACGGCGTTCAGAGGTCCCCTCCAACGTAAAGAGTTCCATGATTCACTGATTGTATGAATCCAGCGTGATACACAAAGAAGCAGAGGAGCAATTCCCTCAGCGAGCCACATGATGCCGCTCTGATTTTAAGTCAATGGATAAACACTTTCACTGAACTCATAGCTTGAAAGGTGCAGCGGGTAAGTAATACCTTCCATACCAATATGGACGATATAGATCCATATGTATAAGGAAGAGAAGGTGTGTACAAGGAATGCGAAACGGAGAAGAAAAGCGAACCGGGAGCGATACGCAGAGAATGACAGAAGCAATGCCCGCAGCGAGCCACATGATGGCGCTGTGAGCTAAGGAACGCGCGATGCGATGCGATGCGATGCGATGCGAGGAAGGGAGGGGAAGACCTTCCGGTGCCCATGGCAAAGAAGGCAGAGCGAGAGCGAGCGGCGGGGAGGAGGAGGCGCGTCCCGTGAGGAAGGATTGTGTCGGCGAGCGCGGGCGGAGGGTTTGGAGCAGGCGGGTCGGGAGGTGCGCGGCGCGGAGAAGGAGCGGTGCGGCGGCGTGGAGGGCGATGGTCGGCGGTGGAGCGGCGCGGCGGAGCTGGGGGGCCGCGGTGCTGGTGCTGCAGGCGGCCTGGGCGCTGGGCGGCGGTCCGGTGCGCTACTCGGTGCCGGAGGAAGCCGAAGCCGGCACGGTGGTGGGGCGCCTGGCGCAGGACGTGGGCCTGGAGGCGGGCGAGGCGGAGGCGCGGCGCCTGCGGCTGGTGTCGCGGGGCTTGGGGGCGAGCGTGGAGGTGAGCGGGGCGAGCGGGGCGCTGGTGGTGAGCTCGCGGCTGGACCGGGAGGAGCTGTGCGGGAAGAGCGCGCCGTGCGCCCTGCGCCTGGAGGTGCTGCTGGAGCGGCCGCTGCGCGTCTTCCACGTGGAGGTGGAGGTCACCGACATCAACGACAATGCCCCGCGCTTCCCCGCCGCCTCCAAAAACATCAGCGTGTGGGAAAATTCTCCACTGAATTCCCGGTTTCCTCTGGAGGGCGCGTCGGATGCAGATATCGGATCGAACGCGCAGCTCTCCTACATACTGAGCCCCTCCGAGCACTTCGCTTTGGATGTAAAGACGTCAGATGAAGACAGGAAATCCCTTTTTCTTGTGCTAAAGCATCCTCTGGACCGGGAGTCGCAGTCGGAGCACCGCTTGGTGCTGACGGCGAGTGACGGGGGCAGGCCGGCGCTGACGGGCACGGTGCAGCTGCTGATCTCGGTGCTGGATGCGAACGACAACGCGCCGCAGTTCAACCAGTCGGTGTATAAAGTGCAGCTGCCGGAGGACGCGGCGGAGGGGACGCTGGTGGCGCGGGTGGCAGCCACGGACCCGGACGAGGGAATTAATCAGGAGTTTTCCTTCAGCATCGTCGGTTCTGTTCCTGCATCTCAGAGAGATGCATTCAGCATTGATCCCCGGACGGGGGAGATCCGTCTCCGAATCCCCCTGGACTTCGAAGAATTTCGTTTACACGAGTTGCAAATCGAGGCGAGAGATCAAGGTTTTCCTCCGTTGTCGGGGCACTGCAGCGTGGAGCTGGAAGTGCTGGACGTGAACGACAACGCGCCCGAGGTGTGGGTGACGTCGCTGTCGGTGCCGGTGCCCGAGGACGCGTCGCTGGGGACGGTGGTGGCGCTGCTGAGCGTGTCGGACCGGGACTCGGGTCCGAACGGGCGGGTGCGGTGCGCGGTGGTGCCGGCGTCGCCGTTCGGGCTGGTGGCGACGTTCGCGGGCTCGTACTCGCTGGTGCTGCGGGAGGCGCTGGACCGGGAGCGGGTGTCGGAGTACGAGGTGGAGGTGCGGGCGGAGGACGGCGGGGCGCCGCCGCTGCGCGCCAGGCGCGGGCTGCGGGTGCCGGTGTCGGACGTGAACGACAACGCGCCGGCGTTCGCGCAGGCCGTGTACACGGTGCTGGCGCGGGAGAACAACGCGGCGGGCGCGGAGCTGGCGCGGCTGTGGGCGCGGGACCCGGACGAGGCGGGCAACGGGCGCGTGAGCTACTCGGTGTGGGAGGGCGGCGCGGGGATGGGCGCGGGCTCGGGCTCGGGCTCGGGCTCGGGCTCGGGCTCGGGCTCGGGCTCGGGCTCGGGGTGGCGTCCGGCGTCGAGCTACGTGTCGGTGGAGGCGGAGAGCGGGCGGCTGCGGGCGCTGCGTCCGCTGGACTACGAGGAGCTGCAGGTGCTGCAGTTCGAGGTGCGGGCGGTGGACGCGGGGGAGCCGCCGCTGTGCGGCAACGCCACGGTGCAGCTGTTCGTGGTGGACGAGAACGACAACGCGCCGGCGCTGCTGCCGCTGGCGGGCGGCGGGCCGGGGCCCTGGGCTGCGGGCGAGGCGGCGGAGCCGGCGTGGCGGGCGGCGGGCTCGGCGGGCTCGGCGGGTTCTCCGGGCTCGGCGTCGTCGTCGTGGTCGCTGTGGGCGCGGGCGGCGCTGGGTGCTCCGGCGGGGCAGGTGGTGGCGAAGATCCGCGCGGTGGACGCGGACTCGGGCTACAACGCGTGGCTGCGCTACGAGCTGCGGGAGCCGCGGGGCGAGGGCCCGTTCCGCGTGGGGCTGTACAGCGGCGAGGTGAGCACGGCGCGGGCGCTGGAGGAGGCGGACGGCCCGCGGCAGAGGCTGCTGATCGTGGTGCGGGACCACGGGGAGCCGCCGCGCTCGGCCACGGCCACGCTGAGCGTGTCGCTGGTGGAGGGCGCCGAGGCGGCGCTGGCGGCGGCGGGGGCGGGGGCGGTGTCGGCGGGGGCGGGGCCGCGGGCGGCGGCGGGCGCGGAGGGCGGCTCTGCGGCGGCGGCGGCGGCGGCGACGAACGTGTGGCTGGTGGCGGCCATCTGCGCGGTGTCGAGCGTGTTGGTGCTGGCGGCGGTGCTGTACGGGGCCGGGCGCTGGGCGCCGCGGGCGGCCGTGCCGGCGGGGCCCGGGCCGGCGACGCTGGTGTGCGCCAGCGAGGTGGGCAGCTGGTCGTACTCGCAGCGCCAGAGCCGGAGCCTGTGCGTGGCCGCGGCCGGGGACGGCGCGGGCAAGAGCGACCTGATGGTGTTCAGCCCCAACTGCCCGCCGCCGCCCGGCCCCGCGCCGAAGGAGACGCCGCACGAGCCGCCCTCTCTGCTCGACACGGTCAGTGCCTCTCGCGGGCTGCTCACCCTTTGTTTCTGTTTTCTTTCCGTTTGTTCTTTTTTCGTTTCTTCTTGTTATTTGGTTCTCTTTTTTTTTTGCTCTGCTTCCTTTCCTTCTGTCACATTCTCTGTGCCTGAGCTTCGTGTTCTGACAGCGATGTTGCCCTGTTGCACTCCTATTGAACTCAGTTTCAGAGTATTTTCTGCCGGAGGCTTGGGTTCTGGGTTTTGAGATACGTGTTGTGAGTGTTTCATTTCCAATTTTCTCTCCTCATGCGATGCTAGAATATTGTTGTTCAATCTTATTCTGTTGATAGGATAACGTTGGTTTCTTGCTCGTTCTCACACATCGTTTTTACTGTAGCATAAGTAAGGCTAGCACCAATTGGCTCTATTCCACTTCAACTTACAGGTGTTGTTTGCTCTTCTGTTTATGGGTCTATTTGGTGCAATTCTGTGTGCAGGTGTTTTTAACATTGGCATCTATGGTTCTGTTTATCCCAAGGTTCCTTAGTTTTTGGTTTGGAGTTTCTGGGTTTAGCTATCCTGTATAGAAATTTTACTTTGATGATAGTCACCCGCATAGAGCTGTTGTGACATGAGTTCTACCAGTGCTCTTTCTCATAGTGCACGATATTGAAGGTCTGCTAAACATTTAGGACCATTCTGGTGGTGGTCGTCCACCTGGCACTTTCCTCTGTTTTTATTAACGTGGAGTGTGATTGTGCTGGTAACAGGTCTTGTTGTTTCTTTGATTCTTCTCTGTAAGAGGCACGCTGCAGTGCACTGATTGTTATTTCTGCATTCTCTCTGTCTTTAGTGTATGTCCCTTTACACAGATTTGTGGAAGTCACGATTAAAGTAGGAAAGTGATCATGGACGTTTTCTGTATGCTTTCCAAACCTGCAGGCTCTCAGTACCAGTTCTGGCAATAGCTCTGTTGTTCCCACTGAGAAAAGAGTGCAGTCCCAGTGCTGAGGCTGTTGGTGACCTCAGAGTGCTGACACTGATGTCTGTTCGGCGTGTTTCTTGTGCAACAGGTTAAATGATGTGAAGCTATGAATTTTTATTCTGAATGTTGGGAGGGGGGCTGGCTCAGGGTACTTCTGTAACACGCTTTTCTTCAGTTAACCTTTTCAACTCCAAACCTTTTCAATGAAAATCGTTTTATTTTTGTTGTGTCTATTAATTTATGCAGTTATTGATTGGTTGAGCACTGAACATGTTTTGGAGTGTAACCTGTCATATGTTGTTTGCATTTGTGGTTCTCAATGGTGATTGTAGGTTCTGAAGCTGCTGGTGTGCAGGGCTTTGTTTATCAGAGCTGTTGCCCTGCTGCTGGGCGTGGGACATCACTGCTTATGATGTTCTGTCCCAGAGGAAATCAATGCCTCTTTTGATTTGCCATCTCGTGATCTTGACTCTACATATCCTGCTAGCTGATGGTGTGCAGCATTTCCAGGTGGAATTGTTGAAGGCCTGGAAGTCACAAAGAATCAGTGGTGTGGCATCAGTCCAGCACATGCTATTGACTGTTGCTGTCCATGATTTCGTTGTCATCAGTCATGGTTTCTTGCGAAAAATTCTGATCTCTTCTTCTTTCATTGTCCATTGAAGGAGATGCAGTGCAAGGTGACAGTTGTGCCTGGAGAGTTTTCCAATTGTAGACTTTGGTTTGGGCAGGATGTACTTAATCTCTTTTGGTGCTATTTCAGTATTTTCATCAGCAGCTGTAGCTTCTCCCAAAGTTCCTATGCCTTTTTTAAAACCAAAAATGAAAGAAGGGAACTGCCTTGGAAACCTCCTATACTGTCCATCTGAAGCATAAAGATGCATTACTGATTAATATTAGAAATTCCCTTCCTTAACTGTGTCTAATAACTCCGTCTGAATGTGCAGAAGCAATGCAAAATATTGAGGACCATCTGCAGAAAGTTGGTCTGGCACTGCATGTATGGCACTGTTCCTTTGGGGAGGTTGGACTTCTTGCTTTGATTGATGAAATGGGTCAGTGAAGGGCAGAGTCAATGCTGGAGTGGGAATGGGAGTAGAGACTGGAATGGAGGCTGGCTTTTTTATCATGTGTACAACCTTAGGTGGAAATCTCGATCCTTGAGGAGAAAGGCAATCATTGGAAGCCCTCAAGGCTTCCCAAAAGATAGAGTGAGTGATGTCTGCTCACCTTCTTTATCCATTGTGGCATTTGGAGTTTAGGATAAGGCTCTGTGACTTGGATACCTGCCGTATCTTGTAATTGCACATGATGTTGGTGTGACCACCCTGCCTTTAGGTGTTCTGAATATGTCTCTCTCAGTAGTCATGAATCCCTTCCTCTCCCATTGGGCTTCTTGAACTGCACGTAGACAATTCTGACATTCCTGAGTAATGGAGCAGGGAGATTGCAGTAGAGTTCCATGATGGCATGAGCGTTTTCGCTTTTGTGCTATGCTAAATCTTACAGTGAGTTGAGGCTGCTGAGAGCCTGATCCTTTCAATGTCTGATTATTTCCACAGAGGGCAATTCAACACCTTCCCTGTCTTGCTGTTCCGTAACTTACCCGCTTCCACATTGATATTTTGGTTTCTTTGGTCAAACTCTTGGTTTTCCTTCCTAGAAAGGAAAACCTTCTGCACTGTAGTCCTGTTTTGGAAGCGATGTGCAGTCTGGCCTTTCAATCCTCTCTTTCTGAGCATGAGCACTTGCTGCTCAGGTAGGAGTCACAAAGATGGAGCATTGTGAAATGAAGTCCATTTTTTTCTTCCATATTTTAAGATGCTGTTTTCTTGTTGGCGGCCACAGCCGTGAAGCTGTGTTCGCTCCCCACATCTCTGCTTTGGGCAAATCATGCTGGTGTCTACCGAGTTTGTGTCATCAGAAACAGAGTCCTCCCTTTCACTGATCCTTCATAGAAATAGTCCTGGTTTGTGGATATCATTGGCATGTGGTTGATTCTTTTCACACTCTTTTCACTTCAATACCACAAGGCCTTGCCAGAGAAGATGGCGCAGCACAAGCCTTGTTCAGGGTTCCATTTGCAGGTATGATATTAGTGGTTTGAAACAGAGAGCTATGGAAGATTAACCAGAGGTTGAACAAACAAGGAATAATTTTTCCATATTAGGCTATAATTTTTTAACGTGGATGACTTGTGGGGATGTTGAAGTGCTGTTTCAGTATATGCTGTGGTGCCTGGCTTTCTTATCTCCCATGAGGGCTGATAAGAACAATGTGATTCTTTCTGTGTGCCTGAAAAGTTTGTCTTAGCAATGGGGTGAGCAGTTCCTCCCATCAGATCCAGTCTCTCACTCTGGCACCCGCCCAACAGAGGAAGTGCCTTGGTAATGGGATGTGGGATGAAGAGTGCTGTCAACTTTCTGACGAATGTTTCTCTCACATATTGTGAAAGCTGCTCACAGCTGTGCCTGTACCAAAGTCAGAATCTGTAGGAAATCAGATGTATTTCTTTTTATCATTTCCATATGAGATTACTTAGAAGGTGCAGAGTGTTCAGGGTGCAGTTTGTGCCACTGGGAAAGGCATGGCAGACTGAGTTTCTGCAGCTGCCCCGCAATTCATGCTGTCAGTGCTGAGGGCAGGTGAGGATCTGCACAGCCGTGGGTCATGGACGGAGTGGGACTTAGAGCTGTACCCTGAGCAATCAGCTTCTGCACATCCTCACTTGCTGCTGTACTTGTGGCATTCCTGCTTGTGAATTCATCTTCCATATGTCCCTTTGTTCACTTGTGGTTGAATGTGAAATGTTGCTTCTCATACAGAAGTTTTTTCCCAATATTGATGATTTTGACTGAGTTCTCTGAACTTCCTTGTGATCTTCCCTCTGCTGGTGTTCCTCATCAGGATGGGAAGAAGTGCTCTTTTCTATTAAAGGTATTGGCAAACCTTGTGTTTTCTTGAGGTGCAATGGGATCTTTCAGCTTTCTCTCTATTCTCTATGTTATGAGAATGCCCCACTCTGTTGTTTTTCTTCTCTCACACTGGAAATATGTTGGTGAGAGTGGATGAGATGCAGTATGCTGGCTTCAGGCTGCTGTCAGATTGCACACATTTGAGCAGCTGGCTGTGAGTCTGGGGTCTGGATGTTCCACTTTAGATGGAGAGAATGTCTTTAGCATTCAAGTCTCCCTGTTGCTTCCGTTGTGAGAGATGTGTGTGAATGAGAACTGCATACTAATCAGTGTAGTGTTCTTTTTCTTAACTTAAAATTCAGCCATACTACAGGTAGGTTGTTCATACTAAAATAATATGTGATCGGTAGACTACTGTTAGTTTTGGCACTGTTTAGTTCTGGTATTTTTATGTTGGATGGAGTGTTAATTTTTTGGGTTTTGTCCTGTTGACTGTAGCCTTCTGGTAGTCACGTGCATACCAACGCAGGTAAGATACAAAGACACAGGAGAAAGAAGAGTTCATCTTTGCGTTTTGAATTTAGATTCATACGGTCTAAACCAAACCTTGCTGGCATCAAGAAGTACATACGGATCTGAACTCCAGGCATCTTTGCTGTTCAGTGGAAGACTGACAATCTTCAGTACTTCAGTGGCAGATTTCCACATGAAACGGAGATAAGTTGGAGCATGAAAGCAAGGAGAACTGTAGGCAGAAGCGTGTTGCTTGACCCATAAGTGTGTTCTCTTTTTATGTGCTGATTGTTGAAGACGTGAGCTGCTTTCCACCTCGGCCTGACTGCTGCTGCTGTGCAGTGCAGGTGCTGGTGAATATAAAGGATGGCACAGAAGAACTGTGTGGGCAGGTGGTGAATGTTTCCCCGAGGGTTAAAATGCACAGTCGGGAACAGGGCAGAGGAAAATGGTAGCATTTAGCAGCAGAGTCCATTAATTCCTGTCCACCAGCATGTCTACAACAAATGCTAAAGACAAACGGTTTTGAAAAGGGTACTCATAAAAATGGAAAATCCAAAGACTCCGAACCCAAAATCTCAACTTTGTCTTGTTGGAAGGAAGCATCTTGCCAATAACTTGTTTGCTCTTCTACCCACCCATGCTCAGGGCATCTAGTCTCTCCTCTGCTTCCAATGGTTTCCAAGAAGACCAATGATATCCAGGCAAATAGGTTGCACTGAAAGGAGAATGGCCAACAGGTTGAGGGAGGTGATCCTTCCTCTCTATTCTGCCTCAGTGAAGCCACATCTGTCAAGTTCTGGGCTCCACAGTTCAAAAATGATGGGATATCCTAGAAAGAGTCCAGCAGAAGGTGACAAATTGAGGGCCATGAGCATCTCCCATACAAAGAAAGGCTGAGAGAGCTGGGTCTGTTCAGCATGGAGAGAAGACTGAGGGCGCATCTCATCGCTGTTTATAGCTAGCTGTAATGCAGCAGTCATGTCAGTAGGGCTGGACTGTTTTCGCAGTCCGATGGAACAACCGTGGAACAAGTGCAATGGCAAGGAAGTGAAACATGGGAAAGTTCAATTCAAACAGAAGAATAAAATTACTGTCAGCGTGTCCAATCTCTGGAACAACTTTCCCAGAGAGGTTGTGGAGTCTGCTTCTTTGGATTCAATACCTGTCTGCCTACCTGTGCAGTCGCTGTAGGGCACATGCTTTGCCACAGGGGACAGACTCGGTGATCACTACTGGTCGCTTCCAAGCCTTACAGTGGTGTGATACTGTAATTCTGTGACCACGAGTGGAAGAAGAGAATCTGTTCCCACTTTCTTCCCTGTGCTCCTTCCTTGTAAGTATTATACCAAGAGCCTGAGAATCTCCGCTTCCCAGTGTGTTTGACACAAGTGATGGCTCAGTTTATCTTGCTGCAAGAAACATCTGGAAAGACACCTGAATGAATGGAGTGTGCTTTCGGAGAAATTTCACATATACCACAGAATTTTTAATAGGACAGCATAGCTAGCAGTAATAGTAAGATCTGTCCGACTACCAACGAATACAATCAATAGCATTCAACAGCACAGCCATTTAAACTGGAAAACAAGAGTGAAAGATTATTTGGCATCTCGTTGCATTTCAGCAGATATGTACTTCCACAAACGAGAACACTTACAAAGCCGGAGTATACGTCTTCGGAAATAAATAGATAAATAAAAAAATAGGCGCATAAGGAACAGAAAATGGAAAAAAAGCCAAATAGAGTCCAGTGTGATACGCAGAGAAGCACAGAGGCAATTTCCGCAGCGAGCCACATGATGGCGCTGTGAGCTAAGGAACGCGCGGTGCGATGCGATGCGATGCGATGCGATGCGAGGAAGGGAGGGGAAGACCTTCCGGTGCCCATGGCAAAGAAGGCAGAGCGAGAGCGAGCGGCGGGGAGGAGGAGGCGCGTCCCGTGAGGAAGGATTGTGTCGGCGAGCGCGGGCGGAGGGTTTGGAGCAGGCGGGTCGGGAGGTGCGCGGCGCGGAGAAGGAGCGGTGCGGCGGCGTGGAGGGCGATGGTCGGCGGTGGAGCGGCGCGGCGGAGCTGGGGGGCCGCGGTGCTGGTGCTGCAGGCGGCCTGGGCGCTGGGCGGCGGTCCGGTGCGCTACTCGGTGCCGGAGGAAGCCGAGGCCGGCACGGTGGTGGGGCGCCTGGCGCAGGACGTGGGCCTGGAGGCGGGCGAGGCGGAGGCGCGGCGCCTGCGGCTGGTGTCGCGGGGCTTGGGGGCGAGCGTGGAGGTGAGCGGGGCGAGCGGGGCGCTGGTGGTGAGCTCGCGGCTGGACCGGGAGGAGCTGTGCGGGAAGAGCGCGCCGTGCGCCCTGCGCCTGGAGGTGCTGCTGGAGCGGCCGCTGCGCGTCTTCCACGTGGAGGTGGAGGTCACCGACATCAACGACAATGCTCCGCGCTTCCCCGCCGCCTCCAAAAACATCAGCATCGTAGAATTCAATACCTTGCCTGGGACCCGGTTTCCTCTGGAGGGCGCGTCGGATGCGGATATCGGATCGAACGCACAGCTCTCATATACACTGAGCCCGTCCGAGCACTTCGCTCTGGATGTGCAGCGGGGAGAGGAGAATCTGGAATCCTTATTCTTGGTGCTGACGAACCCCCTGGACCGCGAGTCGCAGTCGGAGCACCGCTTGGTGCTGACGGCGAGTGACGGGGGCAGGCCGGCGCTGACGGGCACGGTGCAGCTGCTGATCTCGGTGCTGGATGCGAACGACAACGCGCCGCAGTTCAACCAGTCGGTGTATAAAGTGCAGCTGCCGGAGGACGCGGCGGAGGGG